CTCTGCCTCTCAGGAGGCATTGTCTCTCAAGGATGGGTCACAATCAGCAATCACACTCTTCCTGAAAATACATGTGGTGATCTATGAGCACAGGTTGTCCCACCTTAACCAGTGGGAAGCTCAAGGAGAATTTGTATCTAAGTGAGTTGCAAGTTAATGCATAGCTGCCTTAAGGCAGCCCCTCAGTTGGAGTTGAATCAGTCATTAATAGCTTAGAAACCACAACCAAGCAAAGAAAGACAAAATGAGCATAAGAAAAAAGAACAGAAAAATGAGCTATTGAAAGCAGGAGTTTCTGAATTTCATGGGCCACTGATTTGACAAGTTCTCCATCTTGGTCCCCAAATGACTGGGTAAGATTGTGTGTGTCCAAAACCATGAGGGTCACACACTAAATTCAAAACTGAGTAGAAAAAATGAAATCAGATTATTTCACTGATGCCTCTGACTAGGGAGACTCCACGTATTTGCAAGGGGAACATTTTAATCTTCCATCCAAAAAAGAAATGATCTCTCATGGCATGCCTGATAATTTAGAGTCTTCTCAGGTTTTTGAATTATGCTACTGTATGTAGCTGAAAATTGTTTGATAAGCATCACTAAGTGGTCTGGCTTTAAACCAAGCCTGTCATCTAGTGGAGTGCTATGCTATTCCAACTTTAATCTAGATAACTGGCACACATAAAATAAGGAAACACAAATGTGACACAGCTGCAGCTAGTCTGGCGGAGCTAAAATGCTTAACAGTGTTTTATGCCTGTAATATAAGACTGCTTACTAACGGGAGAATCCTATGTGCAAAAGAGTGACAATCAGATTGGCTTTGATATAACTGGTTATAAAAGAGGAGGAGATTTAGTATTTATGGTGCCTGCAGGTTACAATAAAATGCTTCTTGTGTTATGACTCTAGCAGACATTAAAAATGCTGTATAACTATGGCCAAACTTCACAAATTACTGCCCAACACATGTGTAGCAAGCTAGGTTTGCAGCAGTGAATAGGTTAATGATCAACCGTTTACAGAAAGGCTTGTGACATAACTTAGACATTAGAGTGGTTTGTTGTGCAATCCATGTGCCCTTTCTGAATAATGTATCTGAATGTGCCAGGAAAACACAGTGTATGTATTAAGTTTACTAAATGAGAGTCAGTGTAGTAAATTAAATAAATAGTGTGTGATCCAAGTGCTTTTGTCAATAGTGCATTGATTATAATGCCACATACTGTACTAAAAATCTAATAAATACAGAATGTCAGCTGGATAACTAGAGTATAAGTATGTTAAGTTCTGGCACTTGAGGCAAATATAAACAACCTTATTTGTGCTCTAGGAGTAAAGGATTTTCCCCTCAGGAAAAAAATATACACTATTTCTTACCCTACATTTCAAAACAGGAAACAGGTGCTCAGAAAACAAATAGACAGATCTGCTCCTTTAATTATGGACTGAGAGACTAATATGGGGGAAAAACAATTCTGGTAGTAGAAAAGATAGATGAACAGAAACATAAACTAAAAATTATTTCTTCAGCCAGGACATATTATACATCTGAACCTGGTATGCACTAAGACTTGTTATATACTTCGTGTCTCAAGAAGTATCTCTGCAAAGGTGTAACACAGATGTGACTAACACTGTACAGAAAGTGCTGAGGCAGCTACGCCTAATTTAACGTGGCATGTCACTGGGATGTTAACTGTGGCTTGAGCTCCTTGCTTTGTACCAAACTTAAAAATATTTTTGTTGAGTAAATACCTATGCACAGGCTTGCTCTCCCAGGACAGTAGCACCCTGTTGTGCATGAAATGCTTGTAGAGATTTTTCTGAGACTACTGGGCCAACTTGGAGGCTGATGTAACCTCTACAGCCCACGCCAAACTGCCCAGAAAAACTCAGGCTGGGTAGACCTGGTGCCACCATCAGATGAGGTGGCAGGATTTTTCCCTGCCTGTGCAAATCAAAACTGCATAACTTACCCAAAATGCTCATAGCTGGCACAGAGCCGTGAGCTAGTGAAGACAAACTAAGGTAAAAATATTGAGGGTGGCTGCTGGCAATGACAGCAGGTTTCAGCACTGTAGGTCAGCTAGCTGACTTGCTCTTGAAAAGATTGTAACTTTACACAGAAATTCTCCCTGATGTTTTTTCTTAGCTGCTAGGCAGTGGCATCACATGCATTAAAAGCTATCATGTTTTGGTGGGTTTTTTTTTTATTGGGCCTCCAAGATAACCTTCATAAAAACTTGTATATTTTCAAACTACATCAGGATTTTAGGGCTCAATTCATAATGATTTGTGACTAATCTGATTTAGGAAAGGATGACACGCAATTTTGCTGATGATCAGTTTGCAGTTTGTGACTGGTAAGTCTCTACAAAGATGGCATTCTCATTTTTATGACCTGATCGCCCCCCAAAAAATTACGAGAAGCTGCAGTCCCAATTATTCACAAGAGCCTGATCCAGAAAAGTAAGCATTTGAGAAAGTGTGAAATCTTAAGCATTTGCATCGTTCTACCAACTTCAACCTACTCATATGTTATGATGGATCAGTCTCAGACTAGAGAGAGATATCTGTGAGAATGCAACTGCCAAGTATTCTGCATACACCCCTCCAGTTGAACTGTGCAATGGTTTCTTTTGCACCTGAGCGTAATGAGTTGAGCAACTGTTTGGAAACTTGAGTGCTAATATAGAAGAGTAGTATTTTCTGTTAGTTAGATATATGTGGTAAATCTATCTTGGCTGTTTCTAAAGATAAAGTATTCTTCTTCTATGGTATGTATATTTATCCAGGAAAGATGCATTCCCTAAGTCTAGAACAAGAAACAGTGCAAAGAGTCTGATGAATGTGTCTCTGCAGACACAGACATGAATGTATTTCATGTTTACACTAAGTACATGTTGTAAAACACAGACCAAAAACTGATTACTTGCAAGGATGGGTAACAGTATGTGGCTAAAGTTTAGGCAAGCACGTAATTGTGTAATGAAATCACTTAAATGCATTGGGAAATTCATTTTCCTTTCACCCTTGGAAAAACTGATCTGCACAGGAAGAACTGGAATTTCACACTGAGGGTTTAACTCCTGTTCCCCCAGCCTTCCTGCATACCCTCCCGCCCTTTCTGCTGGGTCTACAGCTTTTACATGTCTCTCCGTGACTCTCTTCCTTTTGTCTGCCTCCTCAATGGCTCCAGAGTCCTAAAGAAATGTTCAGCTTTGAAGATTGGCCTAAAAAAATGGTAATTTTCCAGACAAAGGCCAGGTGTTACTTCCGATTCATTCAGTATGCATCCCTATTATCCTGCGGGTCAGCTCCTGCCGTGCGCGCTCCATGGGTGTTCTGACTGCGTAAGGCCTGTGAGATTTGCCCCGTGTGACTGAACTGCAGATGGCACTTTCATATCTCTTATTTTAGCAGCAGTCAATTTGCTAAACTTTCTTAATAGCAAGCTACAAGGTGATTTCTGTGTCACAGTCTCACAGCTTTCTCATGCCAACCGGAGGAGGAAACGCAGTGTCCATCGTGAGGAAACGGGGTCGGAGATGAAAGCTCCAGCCCATGGACAGGGTGACCATCAGCACAGCTCTCACCTGCCCGGGCGCTGCACTGCGGCAGGCTGTGCCGCTACAGGGGGCATGGATTTTGTCTCATTGTGCCTTTCCCTACTCCCTTTGGAGAGAGAGAATATCGGTTCCCCTCAGAAGAACTTCAATAGGAGGAGAAGTGGGCCAGGCTCTGCAGAGTAGACTTCCCCAGGCACACGGCTTGCCTACCAGTGCTGCACAGCTTCTGGATCACAGAGCAAAGAACCCTGCAACTGCTCCCACAGGCATCGAGTTCCTTGCCAGGATTCTCCAACTACTTCTGGAGGCACAATCATCTGTGCAGATATTTCTCCCTAGCGAGGTCAGCCATTTCAAGCAAACAATAAGTTTGGATCATTGTTTGCTCTCAGGACAGATTATTTTTTCTGTATCTCCACAATCAGGTTTAGATCAAAAGGAAAAACAAACCACCCTTTGTCAACACACTGTATCCAAACCAAACTAACACATTTGGTTTCTGCAAGAAAACAAAGTCAATTTTCAGTTTCTAAATAAACCACTTTTGGAGTTGTCCACCCTGAAATTTTGTCTTTCTTTCCCGTGGCTCCCATCAGATGGACAGAGGAATCCGACAAGTAACAATGCTGCTGCTTATCACCAGTTAAATCCAAATTTCTTTTAAAGAAATGCTGACTGCTGCTGAAATTCCCAGAAGTTAGAAGCTGAGATGTCATTCAAAACCCTCCGTTTGAATTCTTGTTGCCCCAGATTCAGCCATTTATTTTTGTGTATAGTGATAATAGGAATAGATCCCCATTACGTTCTATTGCTAGAAAACCTTGCACCATCTTCAGTGATGGCTAGACCAGGCCCAGGATACTTTACAGTAATTTCTTAATCAAATCAAATATCTTATTATGCAGCAGATGAACTTAAACCACTATTTGATTATGTGACCAACAGAATACTTGAATTTAATAGGTTCGTGCTTCTTACATGAAATTTCTAGAATAGTTGTTATAGTTTTATTATGTGCTTCTACCACATAAACACAGTGAAATATGCTGTTCTAAAGGCTCAGTAAAAAAAGGAAAAAAAGAAAAAAAGATCTTAAAAGAAGATTAGGATGTCAGAAATAAATAACTCATTGCATTAGAAAATGAACCCCCAAATTTCTCTGCAAGGTACCATAAACCAGCCATGTTATGGTGAGGATCAAGGCAAGGCAACAAAGGTGATGGAGAAATCAAATGAGTGGTAACAAGGGCTCAGTGGCTATACAGACTCAGCAGACAGGGCGGCTGGCACGTTTGTGAGAGCCGGGGTGACTGGGTTCAGAGATTAAATGGAAGCTAATGGTTATGATTAAGCCCAAAAGCCAACAAACTCAGGCTTCAAAGGTGAGATGGATGATTGCTATGTACTGCTTTGAATGCAGCTACTCACGTTTTTTGCTGAAGAGGATGAGGAGAGATGAGCGGCTGAGCCCAGGATGGCAAACCACCAGTTCATCTCCGTTCGTCGCAACACTTGGACTTTCGGATCTTTAAGCCTGTGTTCAGATTTCATTACAGACAAGGAAGCAAGCAGGTGCCTCCACGTGAAAGTGTTGAGCAGAACAGAAACGACCTTGGATCAGGACCTTGGATGCTCTTCTGTGTTTCAAGTTGATAGTGCTGAAAATGAAAATGCGATATGAAGCATGTAGTTACAAGGTTTTGAACATCTAAACACTATTTCACAACTTTTTTTTTTAACTTGTCCAGAGTGAGTTTTTATAGTTTAGCCATTAATCTCGTGAAGCAGGAATTTAACATGTCAGTGTTGACAGACTGTTAACTATAGCAGCAATGATGAAGCTTCTATAATATTAACCTTTCAAAAAATAAAACTGCAATAATGATGTTGTTTCCATTAGACCTTTCAGATCACTTACAAATTATCTGGAACTCCTACTGTTTATTTGTTTTTACTTTAGATTGTTGCCCCAAGCATTTAAATAATTGTAATAAAATAATAATAGAATTAAGATTAGATAAATTAAGTGGAAATGAAACTGAATACATTTTCCATGACAGCTGGCAAGTCCCATTCTGTGACTGCTCAGAAACAGAACTGGAATTTTTATGACAGTAGACAATAAGGCGATCGTGTACAGGATGTAACCCAATGCTCAAGAGGAGCAGTGTGCAAGTGACACATCAACAAAAACAAACTTGTTTCATTTATGTACTGTTAATTACCATAACTTACATAATCATGGACATCTGTTCTCCCTTTCTCATACATGTACCTATACACAGATAATTACCACTATCTATTGGTCAGAAGAGCAAACAGCATAGTGTAGTGATAGATGGGTTATATTAAAATATATATATATAATTATATGCTATATATAAAGATATGCCCATCTCTGTCTTATTTATCACTGTATTGCTTTGCAAGTCATTCTTTTATTTCTTAAACTTCACATCCAAACTGTAAGTAGAGGTCCTTGCATAGGTGGAGACGCATTACACAGAAGAAAGAACAAATTGTTTTTAACTAATCAAAAATTAAGCCTGAAAATATCAGTATAGTATCTTTTTTTCATAACAGTTCTGTAACACTGTCTCAAAGGATTTTTTTTTCTAACCAGGCTGGAAAGGATTATCAGCTTTAAAGCAGTCGCATAGCTCCAAGAGAGATAGCCATTTTTTTATTGCATTATTCAGTTAAAGGAGAAAAGCAACTGATACACAAATTATGACCCTTAGCAAACAGATTTCTTTTCTTCTTTTTCTGTCGAGTCTTGATTACTTAAGAGTGATATTTGTTCCACGAAACGTTTTCTGATTGTCACTTCTCAATTGCTATATTTTTGGAACTTTATGAAAGAACAAGGAAAGTTAACTGATTTGCCTGAATTTAATGTAATTCCAGTGTTTATTTTGGGGCCTGAAGTCGTACAGACACATATCTTAGCTCTGTTTGAAGTAGCATTTTATCATAAAGAAATGGAAATACATACATAAGGTTAATAAATACCTTTTATACTGACAAATATGTATTACTGCGAATTTGGTAAAAAGCAAAAATTATCTTTAAAGTATATTTTTAAAAGCTTTGAGATCTTCAAAGTCTACTGATTTTTTTTTTCACTAACATCATATTGTTGTAAATTTTGAAATTAATATGGAACTGTACACATTAAATGAGTTTAATGTACACATTAAATGAATCTAAAATTTCATCTTACCTAGTCCATGGACCTAACTTTGTTTCCATTTCTGTTAACTGCTCTCAGACGTTACTGTACATCCTGGGTAACAGATCCTGGGCTAAATAATCTTAAACTGCAGGTACTGAACTACTGTTTCCACTTTTCAGAAGGATAATTAATTCAATCAGTCTGCATGTGTCCTTGGTTAGAGGAATTCCTGCAGGTGACACAGAATGGCTGCTCCATGTTCAGTCATTTCTAAAAAGACTATTAATTGCACTTTATTGTGATTTGGATATTTCTTTATTTACTCTATTTTCCCACTTTCCACCTGTATGGTCAGTGTGCTGGGATTGTCCCACCAGCTGGGAGGAGCTGGGGAGACCCTGATGGTGAGCAAAGATTCCCTTATTGAAAGTAAAAGAAGCTGTTTCCATACTGCCAAATGTGTATGGAGAAAAATGAGTATTCTTTTCATACCATCGTTCATCAGTGTTAGCACTATTCTGATTTTGCCTTTCTTTATAGTTGTATTTTTCTGTCATCCACAGGATCTTAACAGAAGCATATCTGGGGGAGAATACACTGCATTAAATTGTCAGATAAAATAGTCCATAAATGAGCTGTCCCACACAAAAAAAAAAAAACCAAACCCAAAAGTTTAGCAACCATCCTCAGTTGATGAATTTGGGAATTATTCCACTTAGAAAAATGCCTCTACACAATCAGAAAGAAATATTTTCAAACTGAAACTTTTCATTATTTTCACAAAGAAATATAATATAATATAAATTGATATCATTTATTTCATGTCATGTTCTTAAAGTATTTAAAGGATCTAAAGAACTTGATTTGGGACAAACAATCTTTTAAGTCACATTGATTTTTTTCATCTACATAATAGTACGTCTATTTATTTATTTATTCATTTATTTTCAGCCTATATGGAAATACACTTAACAAATGGTTATTCATACAGATTCACCTAGACGTCAGTTTGAAAAGTGGCTTGCAAGCCTTGAGAATGAATATAACTGCACTTGTATACAATTCAAAAGAGAAAGCACTTATAGCTTTTCACTTCAGTTCTCAATATAACATTTTAGCTTTGATAATAAAATTCTCCACTGAAGCTTCGTATTGCTAAGGCATCATTACTTCTACAAAGCATACATCGTGAGTTAAGTAATAACTTAAAATGCGAAAGCTAGACTATTTTATTTTTGGAGTGCTTTGGGAAAACACACTTCTGCTTTCTATCAAGCCATAGATCTGTACCCTTGCAAGGTGCTGAACAATCTCATTTCCCTGCATAATCTAGAGAAGCTGAAATCTCACAGCAGCGGGGCCCTCCCTGCCAAAACTGCAAGCCCAGTGAAAATTCCAGATTCATCTTTACACCTGAGCAAGACACAGATCATAAAAATCCTGCATCTGTTGACCATTCCATCTTTTGTTTTGTGACTGACATCATGTCATGTCATATTACAAAGGAAAAAAGAAACAAACCTCTACTGTGCAGCTGTATGATAACTTACTGGATGTTTCTTCCCTATTAGCCAGTTAAGCAGAAGATCAGTCTGTATCCTGAGGCCTGAGGATTTAGATTGCATCCACTCTTTTTTTTTTTTTTCTTTCTAAAGTGTATCTGTCTTCAATCTCTAGTGTAATAAGTCACTAATGTACTCATTTGAATCCTGTGAAACATACTGTACTTCTGTGGTATTTCTTTGGAAAGAAGAAAACTCAAAAGACCACCATGCCAAAATTCAAGTCATCAGTACACGGTCCCACTGCGCTCAAGAAATTAAGGGACAGATTCTCTGCTGTTGTATAGTGGTCTGTGAGGAGGCTGGGGAAGGAGGGAATGATTGGGAAATAATTACATACTATACCAGTTTATGTCTCCTAAGGAACTGGTCTAGAGTTTTAAAACAGTAAATTGTTGCTCTGCTTTCACATCTTCACATCAAGAGTTTGATATACACTGGAAACAGGTAGAAGACAATATTTGAGGTGATCCTGTGGTCTCTAAAAGCCAACGGAGATGCACAGACATAGATACATAGATTTAGCTATAGATATAGTGATAAATATGGATTAAATAGATATAGATACACATGCACATATAAATTTTTTATGTGATGTTTCTGCTGAGTCAAGCAAAGGAGACTGAATTAGGTTCATGCTAATCCATGTCCCACAACTTGGGGGGGGGGGGGAACAGAGGGCTTTGATTTTATTCCTAAATTCTCTTGACCAGTACTGCAAAGAAAAAACAAAAATATCTGAAGCTAATTTACTGAGCCACGAAGTCTCCCTCCTCCTCTTCTTCCCCCTAACTGAGAGTGCGCTAAAATAAGGGCTGGTAGAACAAGGAAGAAAGATGTCACTGGGTATGACTGCTCTCTTTGGCCTGGTTAAAACTCATACTCTGATGTATCCTGTATGTTGCACACTTTACATCCATTAACTCCAGGGAAATCAATGTCACTCTAGGGTGAGCGAAACAGAATTTGTTTTTTTCTACTACAACTTGTGCCAAGTAATATTGGTACTAAATATAGTGTAAGCTCATTCCTTTTAAAATGTTGTGCCTCCTATGAACATTTTTCTGATAAAAATGTTTTATGTTTTCCTTAAAAATTGCTGAATTTGAAAGAATTATTTTTTTTCCTAGCACCTGCTTAATCTTTTGTTCCATAGATAATTTCTCATTACCCAGGTGTCCTCTTATGGACCCACAGAAAGATTGGGCCTAGTTTAAGTGTGAAATAATCCTGTTGCTTCTATCTGAGAATGAATGAGCCCAGGATTAGATCAGATAAAACACACTTGAGATAAAGTGCACAAGGTGGATTATATGGGAAAAGAGGATTTAGTGAAGAACATATCCACAACTTTTTGTTAACATAGAGAATGGTAGCTTTTGTAAGCAACATTTATGGAAACTCAACTGGAGGTTTAAAAGCTATGTCTTTTGTTGTACATTTCTCTGCATACATTTGCTTTGTAGTTGGTAGCTTTAACTTTGGAAGCCATGCTGGGCCTTGACTCATGCTCATTTTGTTTAATGAAAAGCTAAGGATGTACTTTTACTCATAGATTCTTGTTTTGTTTTCTTTGAAGTTTATTAAGCTATCCAGTAAGATGGGAGGTTCATTAGGTTGTTATTATCACGGCCACAAATTAAGCATCTGTTCCCTGGGGAGTTATAAGCTTCAAGTGGATGTCAGAGCCATACTTATTACAATATTTACTTAATTACCAAGTTACTGCTTCTTGTCATATAAAATACAAACATGGACTCTGCTGTCCACATTAGACACATACTCACCACCTGCTGAACGTTTAAGATCCACTCTTTGCATTTAAGCCCTGTTGTAATATATGTATCAATTTTTTTGTTAAACAATCATTTAAAAAGGTAAACCAAGAATAATTAAGCATAATAGTGACTTCAAGATATCATAAAGAATATTCAAAAATTGTATGCTGTCTGACATTACTATTGATTTTGTTTTCACATCTTAGGACATCGGCAGCTTCCAGTACCAATAAATGCAGCAAAAAATTAGCTAATCGTGATTTTCCAAAGCACCTCAGAAGTCATCATGTAAGGGTGTTTTGTCAAGTAGCAGGTTGGAGATCATTGGAGTCGAGAGCTCTCCTCTGTAGTAAAATCAGGCTTTTCAAGGCTGGAGCACATATCTTTTATGAAATCTCGGGAAATTTCACGAGAGGCAAGTTTGCCATCACAAATGTCTGAAAGTCACTCTTCATCATCATTTTGTTGTTTTTTTCCCCTCCTCTTCAGTGCTTTAATTATCTAATGTTGTAAATTGCAGGATTACCAGATCTTCCCCCGTCTAGTTTTCCGAAAATGTCAAGCCATATAAAACTGAAAATGTTATTCCCTCTTCTCAAATATGACTTGTGTGAACAGATATGACTGTTGGGAGGATGTCAACACCACAGAACAATGCCTCTATTTTTGGAAAAATCATGTCCATTTTTACTTCAGATATTGCATTTGGACATTATAGGTTATTAACTGTCAAATTCATCATTGGCATGCTATCTACCATATAACTAATACCTCACTGCAAAACCTTCACCTTTTTCGTATCTTCTAGACATAACTCTCACTCTACTAGTATTATGCTGTTTGACATGGTCCATTCGAGCAGCCCTTTTCCCTGCAATGAAATCCTGTAATCATTTAACTTTGACAAATCCTTCCCTGGAGATGTCTGTGTCTTCCGCAGCTACAGAAGGATCACAGGCTTCTAAATCCAGGTCCCTCGCCCACACCATGTGAATAGCTTTTATCATTGCTGTAAATTCCAGTTAATATTAGCACACTACTTAAAAATTTAGGTTTCTGCAACCCCCCAGTTTTAAAGTAATAATGGTTACATCTGAGTCTCAACACTTTTCTGTTTGTCTCATCAGAATGAAAGGCCAGCTTAATGAAGTAGTCACCTACCAATGAACATGACTTCTGAAATAAAAAACATTACTGACTTGTTTTGAAATTGTCAACTTGAAACATTTTAGCCTAATAAAAAGCTATTTTCCAGCTTAAATGCTTCAAGAAAACCCTCAAATGTTTTCATAGGTTCATATAAACCATCGTCAAGTAAAAATACTGAGATTTTGGGCTCCAGTATAAAAGAAAAGTGACAAACCTGTAATGTGTCTATTTTGTAGAAAATATAATAGAAATAAGTCTTTGCATATGAAACTATATATACTAAATATAAAATCTAATGCTAAAGTGCTTGCTGTGCGTTCTTGATATGTTTATATAGTTAGCAAATAATTTTGAGAACTTTTCCTAAAAAAAGGTAAAAAGTAATATCAACGTCTGAAAACAGGATGATATCAATATTTTGGTGACCACTGAATCCCAACCATTATAGATCAGTGTAAAATACAAGGCATCATCCAGAAAAACCCCAACAACCCAGCCTTTATATTTCTTAATCTTGTTTGTGGTTTTTTTTAAACTGGAGTTTTAAAAAAAATTACACACTCTTTGCAAAGATGCATTTAATCTTTGAATTTCAGTTCTGCAAGAGAAAGATTATAAAACACTTATAAAATTACCTTACAAAACATTAAAAATAATGTCATTGTTTTTGCAATGATAAAATAATTTGGAAAGTTTAAATAAACTGATTAGTTTCCATCTTGTCATCTAACAATAATTAAAATGAGAAAATCCAACAATGTCAGCCATCATTTCCAGCCATCAAGGACTCTATTATAATTTTGCATAGGACCAGACATCAGTGAAGTTATTTACAGTTATATAAATGTCATCAGAATAGGACTCTTACTCTGAAGTGTCTAGAGTTTCTCAAATATTAGGAAATAAAAAAACATTTTATATAATATAGTAATAATTATAGTAAAATAATAATAAAAATATTCTCTGGTAAAATTTATTCTTCTCCATTTTCTTAAAAATAGGTTTGTGATTAAAAATAATCCTCTGTAATTATATCCGCAGAGCTGTTTAAGCTTTTTTATCACTGCTAATGAAAATATAGTCATGCCTGCTACGAAAAGTATATTTCTCAATATGATGTGCTGTAAACAACATGTCTTTAGGCTATTTTTGACCTTTAACCAATGGGAAAGGTCTGTCTAGTTGATCTCATCTAACTACACAGCAGGTACAAGGAATTAAACCAATTTATGTTGAGCCCTGGTACAATATCAAGTATCAGACAATGTCTTCCAAAAGGAAATACTTAAGAAGTTTGTAATCTACTATTATATTTATCTAGTGAAAAGAAAAAAAAAAAATCTGAGCTGCGTTCAACAGAGTGGAATCCCAAGTAAAAATCTATGATATCACGTTGTTTGTAAAAGTTGGCAAGGAAGGCTGTTATGAGCAAATTAAAAGTAAACAATCTACTCTGGACCTACACAGTGACAGACTGCTTATAAGGTCGCACGAGAAAAGTAAAACATTAAATAGCTGTCTCCAGCAGCATTAAGGTATTTGCCTGACTTTCAAACTGAGCTGTGTTTTTCACTGGGAGAGCACAGAAAATAACAAGGGCTTAATAATAAAGAAACTTTTTTTAATATAATAAAGTGGGTTTTTACACTAATTAGGTCCTTAACAACACAAGCATAGTCTAAGGCGATAACTTTGCTTTTGGTAACAATACAGGCCCTGAACTCACAATTCTGGCTCTACGTTCTTGCTGAGATGGAGCATAACACGTCCTGGGCGTTGCATGAAGAGCTGAATTGCTTCATCGAGGGACCAGGAACATCGGATCCACACTGCTTCCTTAGCAAGCAGGAAAACCAACAAAATTATTAAGCAGAATATGGTGTCATCATGTGAGGAACAGGTATTCCAGAGATTTTATGAGAATAAGTCAGTTATTTGCCTGAGATTCCTGCAAAGTCTATCCTGCTAGAAATTGTCAGGCTCAGGAGGAAAATTCAGAAGGGATGTGATCCAGGGGGACCATTCACTTCCAGTGACCAAATCTAATCTACATACTTATTCAACAGCTATTAAACAGATATATTAAAGAGGTACAAGGCCAAATTCCCTAAAATATGCAATTCAGGTTGCAGTTTTGGCCTCCAAGAAGAAAGTTTGCAGACACCTTAGATCCTCTGCCTGGTGCCATGTAGGATAACCACTGACCCCCATACGTACCCACATCTCACCAAGCAGAGGCAAGAGGATGCTGGTATTGCATCTTTGGTGGTTACCATTGGATGTACATTTGGAATGGGGTGTGGACTGCAGTAATACTGCTTTTATTACAGTGATGTTCAAATGACCAAAAATTAAATAGAGCTTGATTTTTGCATAGTTTGGAATAATTCTGCTCATCAAAAACAACCACTGAAAATTTTCCCTGCTGTCTCTGACCATTTCCTGCTTCCGAGATTTTTCTTGGTTAAAGATAGCCTTAGGCAGCCTAAACATTTGTTTGAAACTTTTTTTTTTTAAGGAGGTACCAAATAGTGTCATTATTTATTGGTGTATATCTTTAGAGAATATTCAAATGTTTAAAAATGGAAATGGAGCATAATGCAAGCCACTATAGAGCAGATGCTAAGCTTGAAGTGCTCTTACGAATACATATACCACATTTTAATTTCAACTCCTATTATTATACTAACTAGTCACAAAATGGCTTCCTATTTATGCAATATGTTATCTGTAATGTCACTTAAATTGAATAGATGAGTGCCTTCTAATAATGTATGTTTACTTCATGAACTTGTGTGCAATTACATTGTAATTATGTCTTTTGTAGGTCCTTTTTTGCTGACACATAGTGCACCAGTGCATTTTAAGTATAATTGCAGTTCTCCCTACCATTTAGGAAAGCTGAACATTGTTAAAGGTTTGTAAATTACCTACACTTAGACCATAGGCAACTAGGCAAATTAAATGGCAGTGTCAGTAATATTACAATGTAAATTGGTGCCAAGCATAATCCAAGGTATAAGCGTTTTTGCAGAAGAATAATGTTTACACAGCACCTCAAAAAATGCAACAGAAAACACAGATGCTCCCAAACTTGCAAAAGTGCATATTTTTGATACCTGAAGAAATGCATACAGCATAGAGGTTACATAGCTACCAACCATCCAAAGAAATGAATATATATTCAACACATGAATTTTGTACAACTGAGCTAAAGAATCATCTTTAGAATAGAAAGGTATACCCAGATGTCAGTGTATCAAAATGCCACTCCTCCTGCTCCTGAGGAATAGTGCTTCACCGGAGAAGCAAGCAAATATACTCCCAGAAACCTGTAATGCCTCAGAGAGAAGGAGACAGACCATTCTTGCAGTGAAAACTGGATTTTGCCTACTCCCATCTTGCAAGACCTTGTAGTCACCAACATGAAGGAAGGAAGAAAGCAACATCATTGTCAAAGGTACCACTCACTGTGAGGACTTGCAGGAACATGGGGCAGGATGATAACTGTGTACCATCATCACGATTTTAGCTTCTCAACAAATCCATGGAGTAGATCCCCAGGTAAACTCAGGTTTGGGGCCAGGTGATATTTGACCATGATCCTTGCAGCAGGAGGAACCTTTCAAGCCTAGTGAAGAGAGAACAGTACATTATCCCTATCCTTACTCCTGCTGAGCAATGAGATGAATCTCCCAGTGACTTGAAGAGCATAGGTAGAAAGAAAACCATCTCCTGTCATCGGCATGAAGCCATATCTTCTACAGTTAAGAACCGGGGACTGATTGGAACATGGAATTCTAAAATTAGGTTAATACATTTTCAGCCTGATGCTTTAAACCTATTTTCTGTGTGCTGTATCCTTCTTCACTTCAACATCTGGATCACGAGACTGCATATCACTTTCTTTTTTTATCCACTTTGAGGATAAAACATAAATTTCAAAGCAGAGAATATTTTTATTTGCTCAATTTTTGCAATGATTCACGAAGCAGTTACAAAAATACAACTTTTTTACTACAGACGCAATATATTGATATTGTTTTCAAGAACAGAAACTTGGACAGTTGATGGTGTTTTTACTATAGGAACTTGAACTATCATATGCATGGACATGTCACTGCAGAATTTTTTTAAAGTAGATTTATGTCGCCCTATGGGGCTTAAGGGGATAGTGATTATTATACACTGAGAAATGTGCATTTAGCTTATAAAACCAATGTCCCACAGAGGTGACCACTCTAGAAAGACCAGAAACATCACTTAAGTAAATTAATTTTGAAGTACTGTCCTGTCACTTCATGCCTCTAGGCCAATCACTCACTGGTGGAGACATCTTAGTTTTGGATTAAACCAGCTCAACCATGCAAACCGAAGCCACTGCATGGGAAAGAGCATCTGGGATTGACAGCTCACAGATCTTGGCAATAGAGGCCACAAGTCCAATGACATAATTTTTATTTATAGCAAAATCCTAGTGGCATTTTTGGTAGAATTCAATCTTCAGTAAATATTTATCAAAATAAACACCGGAGGATGGATGCTGATCTCACTTGCCTTCCTTGCAATATGGATGTAGCAATGGAATTATACTGGTGCAAATCAGAATATGCTATGGTTGAATGCAAAAATTGGTATTATAAAATAGAAACAATCACATCACCAGGGCCAGCAAGCACGTGTATAGTCAGCTGTGTCTTGTTTTGTCCATCCAGAGTTACCAGGGATTTTGAATTAATCTTTTTATTGGTGTTTTAACTAAAAGTGAGAAGGGCAAAATATACAGTATGAAACAAACCCATTGAGTATTTGGTAATCATTTCCCCATGCTTAGCTTGGTCAGAAAGAAAGTAGCTTGCAGAGCACAGGCACAGCAAGGACACAAAGATTTTAATTGTGCCTGGCCTTAGGAGGGGCAGCACGGAAAAGGCACGACACACAGTCACCTTTAGCTACTGTGCATCTCGTCTCTACTTTTTAGTTTTCTAAATGCATGATAATCAGCAGGACATACTACTTAAATTGAAAACTCCTTACTACTGCCTCACTAGGAACTTTCTCTGTGCCCAGCCGGAATGGTTCAACCAGCCCCAATACCATCTCATACCTTCTATTTGGCTGAAATATACCTACTCATGCTATAATTTAAAGAAGTCAATTGTAGATTGAATTCTGATGAATGGCACAGGCACGATAATAATCTCATGCTTACAGGCCTCCCCCTACCTCTTCTACACCACTTTTGTTTTCACCTTTTTACACTAAACCCAAAAAGGTTTTCAGTAAACATCAGTGCTAAGTGCTATTCCATTTAAATGGATATAAATTATTCAACTACAGCAATTATTGCAAAAATGTAACTTTTAATTTGGGGAGAAAAAAACCCCTTAATTGCTACATTCAGTGACTATTCTTCCATATTCACAATGGACTTAGAAGAGAACAGGAAAGTGAGGAATCCTGTTGCCAAACACAGCCTCTAAATTACCAGCTTGTCTACGGAGCTTTCTACTTTAATGCACTTAGGGGGAATAGCTCATCACTAATGATTTGGAATTACAGATCACATAGATCCTCAACTCAAAGTTGAACAGTAACCTGAGTTTTAAAAATCATGTTATGTCTCTTTCCTCTAATACATATGGAGATTTAGGAAAAAAATAATATTAATAACACCAAAAGACCATGCCAAGTGCAATGGTTTCCCTACAAACTCTATCACCTGTTTATCTCTCACCCTCAGTACTAACACTAAATTGGGCCTCATGAATTATTCATGAGGGGGCCTTTAATGGGATCATTTTTCCTGGCTAGCACTGACACTAATGCTAAGAAAAATCTCTTGACATTAATCTTGGGTTGAAGAAAGCCCCAAATACCTAGTTTTCTTCTCAATGTTCCCTTTCCTCCCACTTAACACATTGCAGAAACCAGTCATTCTGAGACTTTGTTATGCAGGAGTGTGGGCATGGGAGGGTGGAAGGGAAGATACGAGACCGAAGAGGGAATTTGTGGCATTAGGATTTTCATATCGGGAACTCTGGGGTCTGGTCCAACTCACATTAAATTTAAGCGAAAGTTTCCCATTGCCAGTCCTGGACAGCTGAATCAAGTCCCAAGGCCTGCTTTGGTTTTGCACATATGCATAATCTCTCTGAAAGAACTGGGAATATCTGCTTGGAAAAGACAAGCCAGCTGTAAATCTCTAACTGCATTATTTTAGTTAAACTGTCTAGAGTTGATTAAAGCCTGGCTTTTTTTTCCATTAGTTTATACCTATTCTGATGATGAAGTGATTCAGGGTGTTTTCCACGGCTGATTACAAGAGTAATGCAAATTGCAAATATGACCACTGATAGAGGCATAAGAAGCCAAAAGTAGGTTTTGGCATGTCCTAAAGAGAGAGTTGTTTTTAATTTATGCACAAAGAAAACTCCTGCAAAATATTATCAAATTACAATCCCTTCCCTAAGGAAAAATCTCTTTAAAATATCCTGATGTAAAAAAGAAGCTATCTTAGAGAACTGTGAATTACAGTCTGAAATGTAGCTTTTTAGCTACTGCTGTACAATAGGGATACCCTCCCCCCCAACACACACACTCTTTTGGTCATAGTGATAAAACTACTGACTTTCCTTATTTTTCTAAAATAAAATACTTAAAAAGCAATACATTTATTTTTTCAATTGTAGCTTTTTGACATCTATAATGGTTTTGTGTCTAAATCTGACAACATTTGTAACAAACTGAAGTGACTGTTACTGCTGGAATGTGTCCTGGAGGCTTTTTCTGTCGGAGGAGATGACAGTAACTTTTCCCATGCAGATTAAGCTGGTGTTTACAGATTTGCCCTGGGTGTGCATTTTTATCCAGCTGTGATCAAGTAACACTGCCTGATGAGTGCCAGACAGATCTCCTGATACGAAGGGTTTACATGCCCATCACTTCTGCACAGAACATGGTTCTAATCTGGACACCATGGCAAAGATCAGTTATTATTTGATTTTTATTTTCCCTTCATTTATACACTAAGGCAGAGTACTCACATTAGAATGCGAAACCATTTAAAAATCTCCTTGCCATTTTACAGAAAATAACACTATGTGGAGTTAAAAATATTTTTCTTCAGCCTTTCAGTTTGTTACACTGAACGCTAAATGAGGATTTTAAAATAATAAGCAGTAGGGTGGGTGGTTTCACAATTTAAAATTTAGCATTTCTTTCATTCTTTCTTATATTTTTTTTCCCTGCTGAGTATCTTTACCTTGCATGCTGTAATAATCTGTGATATGGCAAAATACAGCCCCAGTAACATATAACCTTTTTCCCACCAATGGACGCGTGAGGTCAAGAGGTTGTTTGCCTTTGTGGGACCTAAAGCTATACACATTATAGAGATACTTTGAAAGTGGCAGTGGTTGCATATTGCTTTCTCAGGACCCCTGGCTGTTCAAGCTGGGAGGGAAGAAGTTCTGTTTTCTAATATCTGACTTCCTGTTTGCAACCTCTAATTCATGAAAGGATAAGAGAAAAAGCCATGCCATCCTTTGAATTGGAACTTGAAACACATTTCTATTAGCAATATTAGGATTGCCTAAAGTCCTAGCAACTCATTTCCCATCTGCTGCATGGTTTGAAGCTGTTACTAAAATCACATGGACATGCCAAAGTAACACCTGTAAAAGGAGTGCTTAAACTAACGGGTCAGATTCTGCTGTTTCGCATTTCCACAGCTTTCAAATACCAGCTGATCCATATTTATACTGGTGTATGTGGAAACAACACCTGCTGTTCAGTTTCCTGTTTGCTTCAAAATGTCGCGCAATTCATAGACCTTTCCTGCTATAGTTCTAATTCCAGTACAGACAAGTATTAAGAAACTGATCCTTCAGCCCATGAAACAGCAAGGTCTGTGTCATCTAGTTATCCTTACAAATTGCAAGGCAGCTTTTTTCCAGAAGTCAGCACTGAGGAGGTATACATTTAAAAATATAAAAAAAAAATCAATTGTTTCTACCAAAAGCTGGTATAGATAATTTTTACATTGGCTATGCAACTTACATTTCTGCTGATGGCATTGAAGCTGCAGAAAACACAGTGGAGAACCCGATTCCAAAATCTTGTGCTTAAAATCAGTTTTGTCTGCAGAGTGTTTTTATTCTTTTCTGACTGTATTAATCAAAGTGCGAACTGGTGAGGTACTGGTGAGCTCAGAGGAACATGAATTACAGAAAAACTTTCCCCTCTGGGTCAGAGGTTTGAATCTGGATGGGTCCTTGATGACTGGAAGTCATTACCATATGATGGCTGTCTGGAGACTTACATGGAACGTGTTGGTGAGCTTATCCGGATTCAGTGGGCAGATGTCCATATCACAAAAGATACCACTACAATTTGTTCTCTTCTTGGCAGCTGTAGCAGTGAAACCAAGGAATAAATAGGCAAAGTCCTCCTCCCCCCAAACCTTTACCTTCATTCAACTGGCAGGCTGTTACAGAGGAACATGCACTTGGAAACTGCAAGAACAGAGAATACACAACAATTTTACTCACCACTGGGTTCATAAATTACAATACAAGCAGTAGGCCGCGCCAGTTGCAAGTTGCTCTTTGGAAGGCACAGTTTGAAGCCAAACCATCCCAGGGGGGTAAGAAGAGTCTTGCAGCTTCCTAAATAACTTCCCTGTATAAAAGAAAAGTGCTACTAGTATTTCTGTAAAAGCAGTCAGCCAGCTCTGAAGACCACTGGCTAAGGACAAAGTCAATAGCTCTTCTTCTATCACTAACCCACCCCTGCTGTCCCTCTTCCGGCCTGAAGCTCCCAGCAGAGCACAGGAATGGGGGAGGTTATCTGCAATGTATCTGCACCCATGTCATAGGATGGGGTAATAGGAACAGCCCCAGAAACCTATTGGAGCCTTTCCCGCCACCAACTAAAGCTAAACCTACATTAGCAGTGTTATCTGTATAGCGTGAACGCATTATATATGTTCATATACATATGTTTATATATACATGTAGAATCTCATTGGCTGACAATAATTTGACTATTCCACAAAAGTTCTTGTATTTTTAAAGGAGCCTATTTATTTTAATATGTCATCCAACAATTAGCTCATGCAAAGCCTATAAATTTTTGATACTTAGTTTTAACTTGCCAAGTTCATAATAATCATTAAACCTATAAGGAGAAAAAACCTAATTGAATTCCAGCAGATTTAAAAAAAAAAAAATAGTTAAGGTGCTCTTTGACTACAGTGAAAAAATACGGAAAGTTGGAGGATTGTTTTCCTGGCTGTACTGAAAATTCAGTATCATGTGATCATATGATTGTGAGTAATTCTTTAAATAGACAATAACACTTACAGGCCAGATTTTAAATGAACTGTGGCTAGTTACCTAAATACATTAAAACCTGGCTTTAAATCACATCAGTATCAAATTTTATTCTGCCTGAGGGCAATGAAGTCTAGAAAGCTGCTCAAGCAGCCTTACATTCACTGCAGAACATTTTTTCTGCTGCAACTGTACCCATTTGGATCTCAATTTATGTTAAAAAGTAGGTGAATATTTTTGAGCCATTTTCTCGGCTGATGTAATAAATAGAACTCAATTAATGACAGATATAACTCTGAAAAATAAATAGCTACATAATTATATATTACTATCTGATTTACCACAAAATCCACCTATTGGAGCTAATCAGATGTGTCATTCAGCTAAGGATCTGGTCCAGAATCATTATCTTTTTAAAAGTGGCAGAAGCAGCACATAAGAACATATATTTAATTCATTTCTTCATCCATCTCAACGAACATTGGATTTTACCCTTTTGTGCACAAAAATAAATCTCCACAGAGACTTTTATAGCACTTATTGATTTAGAAGGACTTGCTGTACTATTTAATTTTGATTTGCCAGGAAAGATGTGTTTTTTAGCAGTCACCTGTCTATTATTCATTTAGCTAGGTTCTTGTATGAGCTTTGCACTTTTAAAAATCCCTTTCAGGAGACGTAATTTTCACCTGCATATACACTAGTTGACAGCTCCCTGTTCTTCTCCGCTGTACTGGCAAGTAAACCAAGAATCCCTGTACTTATTTCATTATAAACATTTTATAAGCATCCCATAAAGATTAATTTTGGACACAACAGTTGAGGCTAGATATGAGCTGCTTTTCACTGTGATGAAAGGCCAGTGTCCGATCAAATGAGCCATCCAGGCCCTAAAATGGCTTAAAAAAAATAGTTTTCATCTCTTCATTGTCTGACTTCACGGCATGGTAGTGCTGCCCTTAAATAAAACTTACATAAAAATGGTTAGTACAGCTGGTCAGAAAATGTGCTTGAAGTTTAGAATCACATATCATTGTTTATACAGATGACTATTTGGGATAGACTTCAATAGAATCTGACTTTACTAGCAAAGGAGAAGGCTTTGGCAATAGCATAGGGTGATCAGCAACAGCAACTCATATTTTCCGACTGAGATCAATGTGGACTTTAATCCATTAATGCAGACCTAAATACCACCAGACAGATATGAATAGATGACAGTGAAAATGTGAGGAAGAAAAGTCTGGAGTAGTCAGATTTAAGAGAGTTGTTTCATATTCCAATTCATTTTAGTACTCTACAGGAAAGCAGCCTGTTTCTAGATTTTCAATTAGCATACCCTAGATATGAACTGAAAACACTTCTTTCCTGCTAACACAGATGCTTTTTTGTTCACTCATTTTGAGCCTGTGTTCACAGAATTGGATTTTTACAAAATCCTTGGAAGCATGTTAGCAATGCATCTTTTTGAAACGGTCAAGGAACGGGTTTGTTTGGAATGGAAAGTTGCCGACAATCACGCCAAGTCATTCAGATGCCAATTTAGATATTTAAATACTAATGCCAGGCTGGGGGAAGGGGAGAGGAAAACCCCAAAACAACAAAAACACCACCCAAACTGAAAAAGCTCCCAGCTCTGCGCCTATTAAATTAAACTAAAAATAAAGATGACGGCAGTATCTGCAAGCAATTTGGGTGGTCAAAAAACAATGGTGCCCTCTGGTTTGAAAACAGTGTTTAGTGTTTGCACTGTTCTTACTTGTCACAATAAATTTGGACAGGGTTCCTATTTCCTGAAGTGACTGAAGCTTTTCATTCTTTAAATTTCTAATGTGTTATGTCACATCTTATTGTATTTCATGGTGTCACATTGCATTATTTTGCATCATTGTCTCTGAAGTTGATGAAAAACAACACAACAGCACATGAAAAAAAGGAATAAGCTGTTGGTTACACAGACTAAGTATTGTAACTCGATATTTGTCAGATAGAGTAGTCACTGTAAATAATCTCAAACTTTTAATAGTTGTAATTCCTCAATCAAATAGTGAGAAACCTCTTCAATTTACTGGTTTATCATAAAGGAAGGACCCTCTCCTGGGAAACACAGGGTTGTCGTTATTTACTCAGTATCAGAGTACGCTGCTGCTGCTTTTCAGCCTCTGCATTGCTAATTTATAATGATTAGAATGAGATTTGAGACATACTAGGGTAGAGAATTTCTCAGAACACAATAATGAGAGTATCCATTTGAGACAGCATTAAAGACACAATATGACTGTTTTGATTTTACACCACAAATACAGTACATATCCTTGGGAGTATTTCCATTCATTATGATTAAGCCATGTCACTCAACAGAGAGGGAACTGAGGGTTTCCCCCCCTCTGCCCCCAATTATTCTTGTTGATAGCAGTGCAGTAAAACTGAGGAATTATAACCTAACAATTGTGGTCTGGTTAAGAAAAGAAAATATTTGTATTCGGACAAAGAAACAAACTTATTGTTATAAAATATTACTCTGTCGTCCTCACAGAAAAAAATTCCTATCAATATTGCAAGTGTAATTATTGCCTGAGCAGGAACTGCATGAACATAAGAACTTAATAACATTTGTAACGGGTCATCATGAAAACTGTTTGGTCTATCTACTGAGCAAACTTTAAATCTGGAAAGTATTCACGCAAATTCCAAAAATGTGTATAAATATACAGAATGGAAACAAGACAAAAATCAGAGACCGTCTTTCAATCAAATTGTTCTTACCTCTGAGTGTGTTTTTTGAGTGGATGTGACTCAAGATGTTTATTTTCTGAACAACTTTATTCTGATTTTATATTCTTTGCTGCAATACAACAGATTTGTTGTAAAGAAATAGCAGTTTTCTTTCTATTTCATTCCATTGTTCTGGTCATTGCAAGACACGGGCTGTTGTTGCTATTTGCCTCTCAGGAAAGTAGAGAACAGACGAACGAAAGATAATATTCAATATTTGTATTATAGGAGGAGGTTACATTGTAAAATACATCCACAAGTGCAACCGAGAATGTACAAGAAAATGTAATAAGCCAAGCAAAGGACTGTGAAGCAAGACTGCCTGAAAAATAGGACACAGGACTGACCAGGAGTCATCAAGTTCAAACGTGTGCCAGCACATGAATCACATCACATAAACCCAGTTAATAAATCTATCCAGCCCTGTGTTTACTCCCACACTCCTGTACTTAGGGATCCAGTGTCTAGAAGGCTTTTCTCCATTTCTTGTCCAAATGTATCCATAGCCAATTTATGTCCGTTTGTTCTCATGTCAAAATTATCATGTGAATTCAAGAGCTTTTGTTTCTTCCTGGTGTTTACCTCATTGTATTTTTATAGACAGCAATTGCTTCCCCTCTCAACCTCTGCTTTGCTGGGCACAGCTTCTTTTCAGACAGGCCATCCTTTCTTCTGATCCCCATACTAGTCACTCTTTGCACCTGTTTTTTGGTTTTTTTTTTTAAAAAAAAAACAAAACAAACTCAAAAATATTTGCACCCCAAGCATAGGGATTCAGAATTTCAGGTGATATCTAACAAGCACCTTGGTCAATGGCATGGATACTCTTCCTGCCTCATTAAAAATATTTTCCTCAATATATCTTTAAATTGCATTTTCCTTTTCTGTAGTTTAAGTGCAGTGGTAGTTCACAGTAATTCCGTGATTGACTGTTACAACTAGGTGGTTTTTCTCTCTGTCATTTCCCACTGATGAGCCTACAGTTCATAGCAGATACTTTTCATTAGTCCCTAAGTGCATGACCTTACAGTGCATGACCTTAAATTCCATCCCATTTCTATTACTCCAGTCTTCAAGGTCATTTAATTCTTCCTGTATAATATTCCAATCCTCCTCTGTATTCATGACTTCTCCCAGTTTTGTATCATCAGCAAATTAATTAGTACACTCCTACTTTTTCTGCCTAGGTCATTAAGGAAAATATTAAATAAAATTAATCCCCAGACCAATCCTAAAGGAACTCCACTAGTAACTTTCCTCCAGGGAGAGAGAGAAATCCTTTCAACATAACTCTCGTCTCCTATTCAGTCACTTCACTTATCTTACAGTCCTGATACTTGTCCTTATCTTTTCAATTTAAGTAATAATTCCCCATGTAGTAATGTATCAAATCCTTTACTGAAGAGCAGAAAGGTTGAATCTACTGCATTTGCTTTATCTCAGTGATCAAGTTGTCATTAAAATAAAGGGGGTGCGATAAGTTTATCTGCATGATTTTTTAAAAAACAAATTCATGTTTCAATTAATCCCATTTTCATCTTTTTTTTCCGTATCAAAGTCTTAATTTAGTTTTTGGGTCACACCTATCATATTTAATTTCTATTCTATCCTCAGTGCACAGTGATTCTCTTGGTTATTTTCACCTCATATGACTGAGAAAGCTTTTGCCATCTGTTTAATGTGGTTTCCAAGGTCTGACTCTGATCGACTTTTGCCAGTTCTGTGTACCGCTATCCTCATGAAGCGTCAAGATGTTTTTGCTAAACTGTCCTTCCTCCACCTCCATTTCTTGTAAGGCCTTTATTATTTATTGTTATTTATTGTATGCTGTCTGAGGTTGTAATTTACCTGGTAAGGTGTACAGTCCCACACATTAGTCCTCCTGGTTTGTGGCACATCACCTTGTTGGTCCAATAATTACCTAGTAAAGAAATAAGTTGAGTGAGAAAAAACTGGACCTCCCCATTAGTGACATTCATTTTCTTGTCTAGGCTAGGCAAAAAAGTCTTCTGCAAAAATATAACAAAGTACAGACTTTATCATGCCCTGCCTATTCAAGTGCATCCCCTGTGCTCCTTAGCTCTTCTCTCAGTACAGTCTTCTCTGCCTGCCTTGTGGGACCAAACCATTCAGTGTTACCTGCTATAACTATTTCATAGTTCACCGGGAGCTTGCTGCATCTTGCTACCATATTGTGGCTTTCTTTGCTCCTAGCTTTTCACAGAGATTGCAAACCAGCAATCCAGTAAACCCTGAGGGGCCAACAATGCCAAAGGGCTTGTCAGCAGGCAACGGTCCTGCTGCACTGGCAGCAGTTATGGTGGCTGCTCTCCCAGCGTGCACAAAGCTCTCCTTAGGCAGGGAGATCCAGCTTCATTGCTGTGGGGATCCAAGCACAATCACAAGAGTATCACTTATGACTTTGGCTCATCTTTCCCTTGCTCAGGAAACTTATATCTATATATAAAAAATGTGCATACATATATATGTGTGTGAATGTATATATACATATACTTACATATGTATATATGTGTGTGTATATACACACACACAATTGTCTGCAAATTTAAAACACTTACTGAGATTTATTAGTAAAGAGATCAGCAGATATTACAGTAGAAATGAATCACAATTTTAGGAAATATTCATATCAAATATTAGGAGCCTACTTTATTCTATCACTTGTTTGTTTATGGTTCACATCAGGACTGTGGCTGTAACCATTACATTGCCTCGAGTTGCAAAAATTTCTAAGTTGAACACTATTCATGAGTATACTCTGTGGCTAAAAGAGAGCTGCATCTCTAAAGTCTGTCTGCTGATGTCACTTGTCCTTGCAAAGAGCAACACATTTACCTGGACAGACAAAAGCTCAGAACAATCCCAGGTGGCAGAAAACATCTAGCAGGCACGTCAGAGAGAAATGACTTCTCATAAAGGCTTTCTAGTGGCATTTGATTTGACACAAACCCTGCAGAACTCACTCAGTGAGCCAGACTGAATAGATGCTTCCTCCAGTGCGTTCTGGAATATACTTGATTTGGGCGTAACTGCTTCATGCGAGTATGAATGAGCTTTAGGTACCCTTGTTTGGATGAAAAAGGCTGTGGAGGACCTATAAGAGGGGAAAGCACAACACTTCAGAACAGTGTGGAAGTATTTTGTCATTTCAGCTGCCAATTAGAAATAGGAGTTATGGAATCAACCACTAGTAGTTCTGGTCATTAAAATCCATGAAGATTATGACCTTTGGAATTGTTTCTGTTTCTCCCCGGTGTTATCCCTACTCTCTTAACCAACATCTGCAAGTTTGAATTTAGCATGTGCACCTACATCATCCAGCATTTCCCTTGCACACCTGCTGTCCTGAACAATTGTGTAAAGTTTCTGTAACTGCTCAAAAGCTGTTGTCTTCCAACAGTGTCTCTAACTCAGTGACGATTTCAGGCTGTGTCTGCAGTCAGGACTATCAGTAGAAGATACATTATGTATTTTCTATGATTTAATGTTGATATAGCCAAATACAAGACAATGAATTTTTTTGAGGCGAAGCCTCCTGAAGGGTTCTTTTATTTCTCTTAGCATATTCTGTCTTTTTAAAAATTTATTCTTGGCTTTCAATTGTACATACGTGGAAGAAAAGACCCTGCATGCTTACTCCATGTTCTTACGCTACAGAGAAGCCAGTGTGCTACAGATCAAAGGGAGGGATCTCATAATAAAAGTGCAGAATCAGTCATGCTGGCTAGACCAAATTTTCCATAACTCTGTTTCTTGGCTCCGACACTAGTCACTGGCTGGAGAAAAGCAGAGGCAGTGTTATAAAGTTTTAAAGTGAGCAGGTTTTTTAAAAGTGATTTTTCCTTCAGTTTCTCCTCCTCCACTCTGGATACTACTGACTTATAAACTTACTAAGCTTGGTGTTGCCTCCAGGTCATCTTGTTTAAGAATCACTGATGAACTAACGTTACATGACTACCTTGTTGCTTTTTCAGCCCATCTATACTTTTAACCTCCACAGTTTTCTGTAGAAGCAAAGTCCGCCAACTGGCAGCATTTTCTCTATTTTAAATCTAAAAGGCTTATTTACTGTGGGATCCTTGCCTCATGCTGTGAGAAATAGTGAATGATGAGTCCTTATTCACATTCTGATGTCATTCATGGTTTTTCATAGTTATCTGTCTTCTCTCTCTCTGACACAGTTCTTGCAAACGAAGAGTCCTAATCTACACAAACTCACAGGAAAGCCGCTTCATTCTTCCTGTCTCCCTTGTACTCCTCTCCCACTTCTCCTATATCTTTTTGCGGGTGGGAAGATCAATACTGAGCACAGTATTCATGACACTGTGGTTTCATAGCAGGTTCATGCAGGAACACAGTAATTGTTTTTTCCTTTTTTTTTTTTTTCTAATAATGCTTAACAATCAATTTGCAATTTTGACCACTACTGACGTTTTCAGAGAATCATAACACATTTTGGCTCCAAGACCTCTTATCTAAACATTTTTCAAGCCATTTTTGCAGAGGCCTAAGGTTATATTTCTCCATAAGTATTACAATATATTAGAAGGCACTAAGAATGGGACTCTGTTTCCCAAACATAAGCATCTAATGTCACAGACAAGGACGAGCTGTGTGTCTGACTTCTGCCACAATTACATGGCTATGCCAAGTACCCTCTCAAGTGACTCCAGATGTCTATTTTCAAGAAACTGGAACACACCCTGAACGTCCTATATCATTTTGTCTCCCACTTGGCTAGGAAATCCTATTCCAAACCTTCACAGACAGCTGTAGAACCATTAACCTTAAATAATTTTGTATTATCTGCAAACAGTGGCACCTTCTGAATCATTCCCCTCCCTTTATAAAAGTTATTTACGGATATACATACTGCATAGTTCCTCTGTGCTTCCAACAGCAACCTCTCCTCATTGTGAAAATAGTTATTTTATTCCTGCCCACTGTATCCTATTTTTATTCAGTTATTAATCCAAGCCGTTTTCTCGTATTTCTTAAGAACTTAGTTTCTTAAAGATCTTTTGGGTTAGAGATCCTTTATAAGGCTTTTTGAAATCACAGAT